CCCGAAGTGAATTTGACCTAAAAGGTAACCAAACATTTAGCCTTTTCGGTGGCATTTTGAGGGGAGTCATATTTTCCCATATCTCCTCCCTTACCTGAGACCAAGATATGTGTCATTTATACCAGTCTGTAAATAAAGCGAAGGGCAAATTAGAAAATTGAGGCTAACGTTGTTGAGATCAAAGGTGAAAAAAAAAATTGATTTCACACTTTTGGTTTGTGGAGAGGGAGGAATTACGAATCCCCTAAAAACGCCTGCTCATCAAGTCCAAGATTATATCGGCGGAAGAGGCACTTTTGCACTCAAGCGGGGGCAAAAATGAAACAGTCCAAAGCTAGTTCTATTTAATAAATGTTTTAGCGCACAGCGTGGAAGAATTTCTTCCCTCCTTCCCAAATGCGGGGGGGAGAATTGCGGGACGTGACATGCTTTGCATGACTGCAATGAAAGCTGGGTTGCCTGTGGCAGTTCGACGTTTGTTTTCGTTCATTGCCGTGGCGGCAAGTGAAATTCTTACGGTTATAAGTTCAAATTCTTTATTCATTTCTTTCCGGAGGTCTTTCCGAGGAATCTTCTGAGAAGCTCTGTGGACTCTTAAACCAACACAGTCTCAGGTGGGTATCGTTGGATTCAGTAAAAATTGTTAATTCGTTAAATCGCTGCATAAAATTCAGAAAACGGAACAGATTACTCGTGACTTTTGTTGTATTTTTTACCGCTTTGTGGACTTTTTGACAATTAATACTTGAACTCAGCTTTATTTTTAAAAAACTATACACATTTCGGACCAACGTTGTTTCGAGAAGTTACCGAATAATTAAAGGTTTGGCGCCTACCGTAATTCGCATTCGGTTGTGCTTCGGTCAGAGGTCACGTTTTTTCGCCTGTTTTTAGTGTAACATTTACAGTTGCTTCGCTTTGTCAGCGCTCGTGATTTCATTTACCCAAAAAAATTTTTTCGCTAATTTGAAGAAAAAAGAATGCTCTCTCAGGTTAAACAATTCTTGGTGTTCAAAGCCATGTACCAATCCGCTTTTTTAGCTCGTGAAAAAGTGCTAAATTTTGACGGTTGATTAAGCGATTTTAAAAATTTCTTTAAAAATCCCTTGTTTACCAAATCGCGAACTAATCAGTTAAAATTATAGAGGAAAGATAGTCAAAATATGAAGTGTCATTATATTTTAGTAGCCAACGTTATTTTAAAATATACGAGCCACTGAATATGACTCTAATTTTGCATGATTTTTGCCCATTTTAGACCTCCGAAAGTAAAAAATTCGTTAAACAAATACTATTCACTCGATCGTACTTAAACCAACGATTTTGTAAGTAGGGCCCATAGGGCTTTATTCTGGCTGAGTTTGAGGCCAGGTCATTTTTTGACTATTTCCTCGTCTAGCTGATATTTACGCGGAGCCGCTCTTAATGTCAAGGAGTTAGACTCAAGAGCTGTGGACATGAATCAGACTCTCGGAAGTATCACAAACTGGTCCCAGGACTCCAACTTGGCGCTGAACCCTGCAAAGACTAAGTGTATGTTGTTCTCAACTCCCCAGATTTCGTCTTACCATTCTCTGGCTGAACGTCCTATACATTTATCTGTAGGAGATAAACCCCTCGAGCGTGTTCACTCTATTAAATTACTTGGTTTTCACATGACCGACACCTTAAAGTGGAATGATCATGTCAGTCATCTCGCCTCATCTTGTTATGGTGTCCTAGCTGCGCTGAGGAAAATCCAGAACTTTACAAACTACCATCTTAGAAAACATTTAGTTGAATGTCTGGTTCTATCTCGCCCAGACTTTAATGATAAAAATTCTATCCAATTACTGATTGCCTTGTAAAAATGTTACAGCACATCCAGTTTGCGGCTGCCAGTTTTGTTTTTGGAAGCTATGTGAACAATATTGACTCTATTCTTAAGTTAGGCTGGTTGCCTATGAAAGAACGTAGAGAATGGAACGTTCTAAAGGCCGCGCACAAAGCTATATACTCTCATGATTGGTCCAGAAACCTTCAGCTTGAGCAAGTAAGACATGCTAGAAATTTACGGTCATCAAGTACCATAAATCTAGTTATTCCCTATATATGCCTCGGACACCTTTCAGTATAGCGCGGCAGCCCTCTTCAATACTCTGCCACCCAATGTTAAATGCCGTGATAATTCTAAATCCTTCAGTAAGCAGGGCGGAATGATTTCTAGCCTAGTTTTAAATAATGTAAATATTGTATAATTACATTTTACTGTTTATTACCTAGCTTTTTACAAATTCATAATTCAGATTTATGTATTTTTTTTCCTTATTTTACTCTTATATCAGGCGAAGAGCCATACCATGGATGTACTGATATTAAACCGTTATTATTATTATTATTATTATTATTATCATTTTTCCGAAAATTTTACATGCAATTTAACGTATTACGAAAGTGATAATTTTTTTCATTCCCTTAATTTACATAATCTAACGTCTCCTTGACCTGTCATGTTATTTTATAGCCAATAAGCGTTTACCAAACGGGAATCAAATTTTGGCGCGAATAATGTTCTTTTGAAATCAAAAAGAAAATTTTTAAGTACGTCCATGTTCAGATAGCGCTTCCTAAAAAAAATTTTTAATGTGTTGTTTTTGTGATGAAATACTGCTAGCTGGAGCTGCCGTGCCTTTATTTAGCCACAAATAACAAAAAATTTACTAGTTAAAGCTCGTTCACTTCGTTCTGTGCCCAAAGCAGTGAAAAAAAAATTAGGCTGAAGCACCATATTTTACGAACTGAAAGGTGTTGTGAAAGCGAAGATCGCTCAGAATAATTCGCAAGTTTCCGAAGGAGGAATTACAGTCAAACCAGGTCAAGATTCCATTCATGAATTGATTATTTGCAAAGTGAACCCGTTTGTCGCTTCTGTAACTTGTAGCCGGTATCAAATTGCATTCAAATGATCGGTGAATTTTTTGACTGCAACTTTTTAGTATACGATGAGATGGAAAATATTTCAATGGATGAAATTTCTATTTAGGCATTCTTCAAATTCCAAAAAACTGAGCCGGCAGAAATTTTATAACGAACTGGCGTGTGTATTCACCGCTCATTACGCAAGCAAAAATGCAGACTGGAATCAACAACAACTAACGGATGGCGGCATTTTGGCCAATTGGAACAGCGCAAACCATCCTTATTGTTTCCTATCCAATCAGAAAAAAGTCCAGATTCGGGCTTTTTTACATGTGATCCGACAAAGAAATGTATCATGCCCTCTTCCCGTGAGAGACTTAAAGGGATGATAGGGAGAGGACATGATCTCAGGCTAGCCGAAGCCTTTTATACATGACTGTAAAAAATCGACATGGATTTCGAACAAGGTAAGAAATTCAGTGATCAATAGACTGAAGGTCCACAATATATATATATATATCTAAAACGTTCGTCGCTCTACCTTTCTTGAATCCAAATTTTCCTGTGCAATTGTAACCTTTGAGCCTGAAGACTGTGCATGATCAAAGTACGGAACCCGATTCAGATTTAAGGTACTGAGCAGTTCTTACACCATAGCCCTATCGGTAATTTCACGTTGTGCAGAGACTTTCTAACTGTTGAAACACTGGATGAAGAATTCACGTTGATCATACTAGTTACGGTAGGGGTATTTTGCAGAACGCCTAATGACTCTGAAGATTTGTGATAAGGGTTAGTAAACTGAGTGAATCAAGTTTCAGGTCAGTTTTCCTAGTTTAATGACCCTAAATGGAACCTGTTTTACTCAGTTTCCTAACCTTAATCACTCGACTTCAGAGTCATTCGGCGTTCGGCGGCTACTCGGCGTTCTGCAAAATACTCCTGCCGTGATACTTACAGCACAGTAATTTTTTTTCCTGGTGCTGTTAATTGTTCTCCTATGAATTACTTCAAATGCCACAAATTCATGCAGACGAAAGGTATTGATTTATAATACTGATAATAAATGTTACATTTTATAGGTTTTGCTTTTTTGCAAAGTTTTAAGTGGGCAATATTGTTTATTAATACACGCGATAGAAGCACTTTCACTTTCAAACTAAAACTGCATTACGTATGCTTCAACCTTAGACCGGGGGAGGGGGGGCACTGCCATATATGGGCTAGGTACGTATTTGCCGTTACGTCAGGTAGGGTTTTTTTAAGCAGTTCGGTCTGAAGAGTGGATAGCGGCACACCCCACCCAAAATTCCGCATCTGCAGTCCATTCGTTTTAGTCCTCCGTCGGAAATCATTCTGTATTAACATAGCCTTTTTCCGTTATAAAAGTCTAAGCAAAAAAAGGTTGGATGAATGAGTGTTACTTGAGACGTTTTATGAATTCCGTGTGAAGTAGGATGGTGTCACGACCTCTCAGTATGAAATAAGCGGCAAAAATCAAATTTGCTCAGTTAAAACGTTTTCCTCCAGAGCATAATCTACCGGTCAGAGGAAAAATAAATTCATTGGAACAAGCAACATTTTGGCATGAGGTAAAAGTCGTGTTTTGCCTATCGACCCCCTGTTTATACTAAAAATACATGTTTTGTTGATATATTTCTAATCCGTGATACAAATTATTTGAAAGCATGTTGTAATCGTTTGAAATAGGTATATCATAAGCTTAAATCGTATTAATGCAAAAGTTGCATGTGATAAAAGCTTAATTACGTTGAATAAAATTAAATGCCCCACGTTTTTGCTCATAGCTCAACTTGTCTACACCGTCAAACCCTTCTAGTACATTGCTTATGCTTTCCTTCAATGCTATTTCAAAACTTTCCGAAGCTGCACTGAGAACACTTCTCGCATACTCTCGCATACTCTCGCGAAACTTGGTTTTGATATCGTGGAATAAATTTTAAGAGGCATATGTGTAATTGAGTGTTGATCTTGACGTATCAAGGGAAGCTTGTGTGCACCTCACATCCGGGATCCAGGCTAGGTACGCGAATAGCTTTTTTCAAAACGGTGTCACATATCCCTGTACGTTTACTGCAAAGTGAAAACATTCAAGCCGAAGTCGTTTAACATGACTGTAAAAAATCGACATGGATTTCGGACAAGGTAAGAAATTCAGTGATCAATAGACTGAAGGTCCACAATATATATATATCTAAAACGTTCGAACGTTCAGTCGCTCTACCTTTCTTGAATCCAAATCTCCTTGTGCAATTTTAATCTTTGAGCCTGAAGACTGTGCACGATCAAAGTACGGGACCCGATTCAGATTTAAGGTACTGAGCAGTTCTTACACCATAGCCCTATCGGTAATTTCATGTTGTGCAGAGAGTTTCTAACTGTTGAAACACCGGATGAAGAATTCACTTTGATCATACTAGTTACAGCAGGGGTATTTTGCAGAACGCCTAATGACTCTGAAGATTTGTGATAAGGGTTAGTAAACTGAGTGAATCAAGTTTCAGGTCAGTTTTCCCAGTTTAATGACCCTAAATGGAACTTGTTTCACTCAGTTTCCTAACCTTAATCACTCGACTTCAGAGTCATTCGGCGTTCTGCAAAATACCCCTGCCGTAATACTTACAGTACAGTAATTTTTTTTCCTGGTGCTGTTAATGGTTCTCCTATGAATTACTTCAAATGCCACAAATTCATGCAGACGAAAGGTATTGATTTATAATACTGATAATAAATATTGTTATATTTTATAGGTGTTGCTTTTTAAATTGCAAAGTTTAAAGTGGGCAATATTGTTTATTTATACACATGATAGAAGTACTTTCACTTTCAAACTAAAACCGCATTACGTATGCTTCAACCTTAGACCGGGGGGGGCACTGCCATATATGGGCTAGGTACGTATTTGCCGTTAAGTCAGGTAGGGTTTTTTAAAACAGTTCGGTCTGAAGAGTGGATAAAAATCAGAGGATATTGGCTTATACAGGGTATCATTTATGGGACATTGATCAATGGTATGTAAATGCGTAGTTTCTTGCTTACAGTAAGTCTGGAATAGAGAGGTGATTTTTAGACATGGTATACTGCTTAAGGGTCGGGATTCCCAGCGGCACACCCCAACCAAAATTCCTTGAGTGCCCACTCCCGCCCTCCACAACCCCCTCTCCCAGATTCAGACGCATCTCCAGTCCATTCGTTTGAGTCCTCCGTCGGAAATCATTCTGTATTAACTTAACCTTTTTCCGTTATAAAAGTCTAAGCAAAAAAGGGTTGGATGAATGAGTGTTACTTGAGACCTTTTATGAATTCCGTCTGAAGGAGGATAGGATGGGGATTTTCCCCAGCTTGACCTTTCGTTTTAACCGCTTCAATGGTGCCTCGAGCTAAATAAAAATCACAGGTAGACCAACGGGCCACCCTCTGTTCGTGTGGCCGTTGTTAGCTGAGCACAAGAAAGAATGAGCTAAGAAAGCGAATCCCTCTGCCCCATGATAATTGTTTTAATCTATTTAAAGTTCTCGCGCGTGCTGCGAAGGTTATATTTGCCTGTTGTTTCCGGGACTACCCTGGGTGCCAGAGACTTTTCTAGCGCGGTTTCCGGTTTCTGTCAAGTTCTACTTTTATCTGAAAGTGACATGCTTTGCTGCCAAACATGAGAAGTTTGACGGCCATTATAGTAATTAGCGCCAGGAGCCGATACTAATCGGCTCCTGTTGTTGACATATTTTTGATCAGCTTGTTCCGCTCATAATTTAGGAATGAATTTCATTTACAAAGGGATTGCAGTATTGGAGTTAAGATTTCACTTTGCGATTAAAGATTGAGATTATCTAACGGCTGGTAGCCATTTATAAAGTAACGAATGTTGAATTCTGACATACCGTGAAAGCCAAAGACAAAGGTTATCACGCGCGAAACACGAAACCGTTAATAGGTGACTGGCTTCAATTGTTTATGCAAATGTGCAAGATATTTTTTTTTCTTTTTCTAGGAATATTTATCGTTCAGAAACGGTACATTTGCTTTTAAGAATTATTCTTGAGAGTTTCAAACTGCATTACTTCTTCTTCACGTCTAATACTTGCGATGAATATTTCGCCCTGCCAACACAAATCAGGTCAGATGCTTGAAGCTGTTAGACAGTCGTTAACCTGGATGCTAGAGACGTTTTATGCGCGGTTTCCGGTTTCGGTCAATTCCATATTCACGACTAAGAGACAGGAATGGGCGTGCAGCTCGAATTGTGGAGCCTAAGTGTTTAATGCCGTCCAAATAACATACAAACTTCAACATCATAACTACAGAATGGTATACAAATATTCCTAAATAAAGCCACTTAGGCTAAACTATTCACGTGCGCCGCCTGATACGAAACCCCAAAAACCCAATGCGAACGTATTCCCAGCCGATGCGGTCGCACTACCTCTGGGGGTTAAAGGTAAAAACTCAATCGATAGATGAATAAAGTAAGATATAAAAATAAAAGTTGATAGTTCGAGAGCTGAGATGAATACAGGGGATTCGCTCTCTTAGATCATGCTCTCTTGCTAAGCATCGATCTATAGTATAGGAAAAATACTAGCCTGCGCAGCGAGAGGGAAAATCCCGCCTCCCATGAGTTTTAAATGCCGCCCACTTTTGTGACCTTGGCTGGAACTATTTGATTACCCAGTCAGATAGAGCAGTGTAATACGAAACTATCCGGCGAAAGAGTCAGGCCAAGCGTGGCACTTAGCGTGATGATTCTCTGCTATGAGTTTTAGTAAGTGAGTAGCTTTTAATTATTTATCGTCCATGACGTGGGGAGTGGTCGCCCAGTCTCCAAACCATGGGCTCATGTGTAAAATGCTCGACCGAAGGAAAAAATACAACAAAAACGTAAAACGCAATTGAATAAAGGATAATTTTCATAAATAAGGTATAAAAATCCTTTAAAATATCTGCTACATAAATTCAGTTAAAAATGGACCTGATTAAAAAACCTGGGGAAAAAATACAAAATACAAAATACAAAAATATATATATGTAATATAATTAACACATATAATTTGCAATAAATCAAAGCTACAAAATACTGCTCTGACATTACAGTGACCTTGTATATTAATAACCTAAATTGTTGGAAGGTGGGAGCAGATTTAGTAGAGAAAGGCAAATTATTCCACACATGGGCAATAGAATAAGAAAAAAAGTTATGCATAAAACGGTTATTATAGGAGGGTTGAGAGACGTTTAATCCTCTACCTCGTAGGTTGTTATTGGTAACTCTAGGCATAAAAAAGTTCCTAGATTCATTAAAATTTCCATTTGAAGCTTTAAAATAGTAATTAGGAAAATCAGCAAGGATAGAGCTTTCAACTGGGACCTCATTTAGTAAATTTTGACCAATCCTGACAGTTACATACAAAAAAACATGCAACATTTGGGGAAAAAGTCCACTACCAATTTTGCTATTTACCTACTTCTCTTCACAGATTAAATTTCTTCCTTTGTTGAAAAGAAAGCCAGCCAAACTTTCATGTAAGAGAAAGGCGAGAGAGTGGGCAACAAAACTCCGTCCAAATTTTGCCTTATGCGCATGCGCGGTAAACAAAATAGCTGCTTAGTTACATCCAATTAGCAGAAATTTCAGTCCTGAGTGTTAGAAATCTCTTTTTTAGCTTTTTTAGAAGCATTTGGTCCAAAATTCGTTTTTTCCCTAAAAATTTACTGACGAAAAAGGGTTAATCGGCAAAAAAAACATTTGTTAAGTAAAAATGAAGAGTCCTCCACAGCATGCTCCGCCGGCTTTTCTAAGGTTCCACTGTTCAATGATCGAGAGCCTTTTTGAGGTTGAGTTCAGATGGATCAGGGAGTTAATTCGCACTGCGTGACAAAAGGTAATTATGTTTGATTCGCTTTCTCAAAGAACCAATTTTAATTATTGCTAGAAGATTTGTTTTTAATTTTTGAGATCTATTCCGCTCAAAAATGTCATTCGAGGATTTCGTTCAACCACAAATCTTGTGGTGGAGTGGAGCCTGTTAGCTTGCTCAATTTCATTTCATTTCTACGTGGACGTACTAACTTGGAGAGACAAGAGATTTCCATTAAACATTGACGTGTCTGATTGACGTTTTATTGCCTCTCAGCCCAGATTCAGCCCAGATAAACATTGTGGCGGCTCCAGTTTGCTCCTTTTAGGCGCTAGTCAAATAATGCATCAGTCAATTGAAACCCCGGTTCCCCGACACCCGGGGCATGGTGGTGGATAGCGGGGATTTAACGCGGCCAATGCCGGGATTTGACGCACAATTAACAACGTGTTGGCCCTGAGAGGCGGTGGAATTAACAAAATACCTGTTTGACCCAGGTCATGAGCAGGGATTTAATAGCATATATGCATTTTCGGATGCGGGGATAGGAGCGGAGATTTAACATGAGTGACTAAAGGAAAAGCTTCGTTTCCCAAGGTGTTGAAGATGGCGGCAGAAGAGAGATGATGCTGCAGAGAATGACATTTTAATTAAAATAATATGGACGCGAGAGAGCTCCGCTATTATAGGCGTTTTTAACTTGTAGTTTTGTTTTCTCATTACAGACCACGTGACGGAACCCCAGAGAACTGTTTTTTTTTTTTTTCAAATGTCGTTTTATGCACGTGCACATCCACATGCATATGTATGCATAATTAATTAAAAGACAAGATTTCACGCAAATTAGTTAGTGCCTGGAACATCCTACATTGGTCGAGCATTGCCTAACAAGTTTTTCACAATTCCCCTTTTTTAAAAAAAAAAACGCCATGTTTATCGTATCGATCGAGACCCAACGCACTGAAAAGTTTAGAGCTTAAATTTTGGCTTAAGTTCATAATTCTCAGAATTTTTCGAAAAAATACCTGATAGGATCCTTCTTGATGTGCTCCTGTGTGTGTTTAGGTTTTCTAAAGCGTCTTTTAATGCTCTGATATTGTAGCCACGAGAGACTGCGAGTTTTTTCCTGTTCTTTATTTTTTCATGTTTTGCGTTGCGTAAAGTTAGTTTAATTAGTGCCTTTGTTATCGCGCTTGGAGTAGTCTTTTGTTAGCCTTTTTCATATGCGTATTCTTTCTGTATTCTAGTCTCGGCGTAATCGTTATTGTCAATTTTTGTAAGTTCGTTAGGTTCATTATTTTCAGTCCAGTTTAGTATAAAGTCTTATTTTTGGTTCATGTAAATCAGTCGCTTAGTTGTATCTGGAGTTGCCGTACAGATCTTGTAACTATAGTTTTTTCTGTAATTTTTGCTCGTTTTCTTAGTCATTTGTTGTACTTTAAGTTATCGTCTTTGTAAGGCTTTCGGTCCGCGTTTATTAATTCTGTATTTTCATTTTTGCTGTAATTGTTCTAGTGAATCGAGAGGTAAAAGTCGAATTCAAACTGTACGAGAGTGTTCTCTACATGCATTCAAAGATCTGTTAGTGGATGTCATGTGTTCCGGAGTTGATCGGGTGTGGCAAAGAAGACGCCGTTTTCATTCTGAAGATGCTTTAGACAGTCTGCGACTGAAAAATTCAAGAGCTGGGTACTTGTCGGGAATAACCAAGTTGTACCGAGAAACTGAAGAACTCTTAAATGACTCTAAGAATGTCAATGAAGTTTCGGAGAAATTATTGGACATTGACGAAGCCTTTGCTCGCTTCGAGAAGGCGCATTACGATTACATTGCCACTTTATCTGGAAACTTAAAAGAATTGGAAAGCGAAGCACGTTATTTTAAAGAACATTACAACCGAAAGATGAATTTTGAATCAAGAATTGAACAATGGATTCATAGCGTAAAGGTGCCAGTTGTAACTCACGAAGATATAGTCACACAGCCTGAAGATGTCGTCAGCACCGCGCATTTATCTATTAGACAGCTGAAGGCCAAGCAAGCGTTAGCTCATTTAAAGCTGAAACAGTTAACGCAAAAGCAAGAATTATTACGCCAGGAGGAAGAGACTAAATTAAAGTTAGAAGTTTTGGAGGCACAGTATGAAGTCCAAAAAACAGACCTGCAAGTTAAGTTGTTGCAAGATGAAGATATCGATTACCCTAATCTTGCGGAGGTGTTTAAAGAGCTGAATCCGTTTGATAAAGGAGTTGAAGGACGAGCTACAAGCGGCTATAAGCAGGAAGATCCTGAGCCCAGAGGCGGACAGAAATCAGTTGAATCCAAACGTTCACAGTCACAGTTGAATCCCAATGCGCTAGAATTCAAAGGTCTACTAGCCAGATCCAGCACAGCCTCCTCTGTTTCAAAAAACGAATATATTTTGCCTGAAGAATTTATAGGCAAGATGGCGTTAACCATAAAACAGGGGTTTGCGCTGCCGAAGAAGGAGTTGGCAATCTTTGATGGTGATCCCCTGGAGTACTGGAATTTTCTTAAATCGTTTTAAACAAGCATCGTCTCTAATGCAGCTAGCGAAAGCGAGAAGCTTATGTACCTTCTTCAGTACACATCGGGTGTAGCAAAGGACACGATCAAATGTTGTTTGTACAAGGATCCTTCCCTTGGATATCAAGCTGCCAGAAAGCTACTTGAAGAACGGTTCGGACATCCCTTCAGAATTGCCTCGCAGTACGTGACCAAGCTAACAGAAGGTCCTCCTCCGAAGCCTTCAGATCGAACAGAATTATTAGCATTTGCTGACCAGTTAAAGGATTGCGAAAATACACTTGAAACTATTGGCTACCTGGATGAAATCAATAGCGCCGACAACCTAAGAAGAATTGTTCAGAGGCTGCCGTTTCATCTCAGGACTAAATTTGTTGAAGTAGCAGATCAAATCCAGGAAGCAGGTCAAAGAACGAACATTAGTCACATTGCAGAATTTGTCAAAATCAAGGCGAGAGCTGCAAATAACCCTGTGTTTGGTTGCGTGATAGACGACGCACGAGGCAGATCGGATAGTCAAAGACGTAAGCCTAAGCCTAAAAGAGCTACATTGCCCGATGAGCGCGGTAACGCATTCAGTACTCAAGAGATCGATTTCAGAGAAGGACAATCGAGTTCACCTGGTCACAAAGAAGCCCCATCTACGAGATATGCAGTCTGCCCGGTATGCAATGCAGCTCACCCCTTATCGAAATGCAAGGTTTTTATAGAGAAGAATTTCGAAGAACGTCTACAAGTGATGAGGAAAGCTCAGTTATGCCATAATTGCTTCAAGTACGGCCACATTGCAGTGGGATGCTTAGCAAGGAGTACATGTGAAGTCCAAGGTTGTAAGAGAAGACACCATACTTTACTTGACCCTCCGCCCTCACAGCAATCAGTTGAAAACAGAACCAGAGTTTCGGTTGAACAAGGAACCCAAGTAAGCAATGGCACGCCGTTATCAAGTGGACAGACTAACAGTACCTCAACAGGAGGGGGAAAGGTTTGCCTGAGGGTGGTCCCTGTGAAAGTCCGAAGTCGCGATGCAGACAAGGTAGTGGAAACGTACGCACTTCTAGACAGCGGTTTAGATATCTCCTTATGCGACAAGACGCTAGCGAGGGAGCTTGGAGTTCGAGGACAAGAAAAAACATTGTTCCTGACAACTCAAGAAAGAGAAGACAGCCCAAGAGTTGGTCGTGAGATCAGCCTAACCGTAGAGTCACTTGATGGTACTGACAAGGTTGAAGTTAAAAGACTATGGACTGTTGATAGACTGAACGCCTCACGCCGAAGTATCCCATCAGAGCAAGATACAAGACAGTGGCCTCACCTTGAAGACATAAAGTTACAAAGTATTAGCGAGAAAGAAGTCCGATTAATCGTAGGCACTAACGCGCCAGAGGCCTTCTGGGTATTAGAAGAAAGGCGTGGTAATAGAGGGGAGCCATATGCCATTTGAACACCTCTTGGTTGGACACTCATGGGCCCAGTTCGCTTAGTGGAGTCAGCGAGAAAAGATTGTCTCATGCAGCAAGTCGAAAGGTTCTGGGCCATAGAGAATTACGGCTTGGCGGGTGACTCTAACGTGTGCATGTCAGTGAAGACAAGAAAGCTCTTGCAATCATGGAACGATCTGTGAAACTTGATCAAGGTCATTATCAGGTGGCGCTTCCCTGGAGACAGTACCCACCATTCCTGCCTTATAATCGGCCCATGGCAGAACGAAGGCTTCAAGTACTGAAGAGAAGGTTTCTACAAGATGAGAAACTCTTTGAAAGTTACAAGACCACCATGGAGGAGTACGTTGCTAAGGGACACGCAAGAAAGGTACCGTGTAACGAGGTTCATGTAGACGACAAGCGGCCGCTGTGGTATTTACCTCACCACCCTGTGCTCAACAAGCCTGGAAAAACCAGAGTAGTCTTCGACTTTGCAGCCAAATACGGAGGAACATCTCTTAACGATCAGCTTCTTACTGGACCGGACTTGACTAATTCTATACTTAGCGTGTTGATGAGATTCCGGGAAGAAAGAGTCGCGTTATTAGCTGATATCGAGTGCATGTTCCATCAAGTTAGAGTACCTCCAGACGACCAAGACGCGTTTAGATTCCTCTGGTGGTCGGATGGTGACTTGAATCAGCAACCAGTTGATCATCGTATGGAAGTTCATTTGTTTGGTGCAACGTCGTCACCGAGTTGTTGCAACTTCGCTTTGAAAAGGACAGCAGAAGATAACAAAGACAAATTCCCGAAAGAAGTGGTCAGGACAGTCAAAAGAAACTTTTACGTCGATGACTGCCTCAAGTCGGTTAAATCTGCAAAAAACGGGGTGGAATCTGTGCATCAGCTAAGAAGCATTCAGTCCAAAGGAGGATTTCGATTAACCAAATGGTTGAGTAACAGTTCAGAGGTCTTGGACTGCATCCCGCGAGTTGAGAGAGCCCCGTCAGTACTTGACCTTGACCTGGACAAAGTAAACCGACCGATCCAACGGACGCTGGGGCTCAAGTGGGATTTAGAGAAAGACGAGTTTACTTTCAAGGTTACCCTAAGAGACAGACCAAATACCCGTCGGGGAATACTCAGCATGATGAGCTCCGTTTATGATCCACTTGGTTTGGTCGCTCCAGTTGCTCTAACGGCAAAGAAGTTGTTGCAAGATCTTTGTAAAAAGAAAATTGGATGGGACGACCCAATCAGTGATGAAGATGGTGAAAGATGGGAGAAATGGAAGAGTCAATTACCCAGTCTCTCTCGGATCTCTCTTGGAAGATGCATTAAGCCGTTGTACTTTGGAGACTTGAAATTTGCCGAGTTGCACAACTTCGCAGACGCGTCGCAGATAGCATATGGAGCGGTCTCGTATCTCAGAATGGTAGACGTTGAAGATAGAATCCATTGCACATTTCTTATTGGAAAATCTCGCCTAGCACACCTGAAACCTATGACTGTACCGAGATTGGAACTGTCCGCGGCGGTCTTAGCTGTTCAGTTGGACAAGTCTGTTCGAGAGGAATTGGACGTTCCGATTACACAATCAACATATTGGTCAGACTCCACCTGTGTGTTGCAGTACATCAGAAATCAGTCGAAGAGATTTCACATGTTTGTTGCAAACAGACTCTTAGTTATTCACGAGAACTCAGCCCCCCACCAGTGGAGACACATAAGTTCCGAGCTCAACCCGGCTGATGAAGTTAGTAGAGGTCTCACAGTAGAAGAGATGTGTGCAAACAGCAAGTGGCTAAATGGTCCTCAGTTTCTAACCAGGAAAGATGAATTTTGGCCCCGTGATCCTACACTTCATGAACCGGAGTTATCCGATGACGATCCAGAGATCAAACGTGCTCAGTCTAACAGCCAATCATCGTCTGGCCATCAAAGTGGAGATGTTCTTTCAAGTTTGATCGAGCGCCATTCATCATGGCAAAGATTAAAGAGGGCAGTGGCCTGGTTACATAGATTTAGAACGTGGTTCATTGAGCGATACAGTCGAAGACCAATCAGTTCCAAAGCTAAGAGTAGTGTAAATAGAAGAGTCCTGTCGGTAGACGAAATGAAAGAAGCTGAAAAGGAGATTATCAAGCACACACAGAGAATTTCATTTCCCGAAGTCATCCAGGCCTTGCAAAGGATTGGTTCATTACAGCACTCGCGTCAGGCAACTTCCGAGCTGAAGAACCTAAAGATGGCTGGCCACATACGCAAACTTCATCCGTTGCTGGACAAGATGGGAATTCTAAGAGTTGGAGGACGACTGGAAAACGCTCTAATCGACTACGATGCAAAGCATCCAATCATTCTGCCTTACCGAGATCACGTGACAGATTTAATCATCTCGCAGCATCATCAGAAAACCGTTAATCTGGGTCAAGAGTACGTTTTGTCCAGCCTGCGCCACCAGTATTGGGTTATTAAAGGACGATCAGCTGTGCGTCGTGTGATCAGTGGCTGTTTTCTGTGCAAGAAACTTGGTGCCGTGCGTGGGGAGCAGCTGATGGGTGATCTTCCAAAGGAAAGACTGATGTCCGAAGAACCGCCGTTTACTCATGTGGGGGTGGATTATTTTGGTCCTATTTATCTGCGCCAAGGACGTTCAAACGTGAAACGTTATGGTTGCCTTTTCACCTGCCTTGCTGTTAGAGCCGTAGTTAGACCGGGCATGTAGCCACGAGAGACTGCGAGTTTTTTCCGGTTCTTTATTTTTTTCATGTTTTGCGTTGCGTAAAGTTAGTTT